TCCAGGAAGATTATGGATAGTTTTCGAAGTTCTAGTTCGCAGCAATCGGTAAATATTTTTAACTTGTTTTTGCCACAATGACAACACTCGTCATTTCAAGGATTAGGATTTGTAGTCACATAGTTTGGAATATGGTGGATAAAATTATTTAATGATATACAACCATTATAAGAATATATTTTAATGGTTTGGTATAACAACATCATTGACACCATGTTACTTTTTCTGGTTTATGGCTGCTTCTTTGAATCACTTCTGTCCAGCTGATGTTAAACTGATCACAGGAAGGCATGGTGGAATTTATTGGTTTATTGAAGGTCAAAGTAATAAAAGGCATGAATTTAGCTATCCGTGATATGCTGTCTAGTGATCCTTATGTTATCCTGAATCTTGGACAGCAGGTTAGTCATTCTCTGTTTCATTGGGGATGAACATTGGGGTTGGGACTGACTTCCACATCTTTGATGTATTCGTTGTCCAACTCATGCATTTTAACAAAAACAAAAAGATAAATCGTGGCAATGATTTTCTTTCTCCATCAAGTAAATGATATCATTTATCACTTTGGACTAGGATAAATCTTCTCTCTCACACTCGATCTTACTGTGATTAGAAGGCCCAAACGAAGATAATAAAGAGCAACCTGAATCCAGTCTGGAATGAAGAACTCATGCTTTCTGTCCCTCAGGATTTTGGGCCTTTAAAACTGGTAATCCAATCTTCCTTGCGCGCTTAATATGTAGATGATACTTTCTTCCCTTTTTTCTTGGTTTTTCGTCTAAGATTTTAATTCCTATGATTTTTCAATATGTTACTGACCATGACATGCCACGTTCTAACTTAGTTTAGTGGTATACATGAAAGCATTTTTTACGACTTCTTTCTTGGTGTTTTGCTCTTCTAGCTTTGCTGCCAAAACATGTATATAGCCTGAAGGTGGTGACAATGCTCATCATCCACACCCATGGTTCTTAGTTAGCATTATCAAATATTTCTTGCCTCCTTATTTAAATTTGCGGTTTTCCCAAACTGAAACTGGCACTTTACAAATATTTGTCCAGTGTACGATGGGTCATCAAAATTGCAAAATTCATCAAGATCATTGGAGTGATAATAACAGGAAGAAAAGCATACACTTATCTTTAGTATTACCATCTCTTACTCAAATTTAGGCTAGGTCAATGATCACAGTGAAATGCTGTTTGATACATCTACTAATGGTGGATTTAGGGAAGTTGTAGGTGCAGCCAGAGGTGGATTTATGCTTACACTTCAGCCAAGTTATACCTAAAGAAACTGGCATAACTTGTGTACGTGAACTTCTTAAGCTCAACAAGTAAATGTCTCAGTTACAACCTTAGCCTGTCCTATATTTGGAAGACCAAATGGGATAGCTTTTTTGAGACCATATTTTTCTAGTTCAACATTTTTGGAACATCTACATTGTTTATTCTCTTCCTTAAATTGCACCAAACAATAGCATGTGAAACATCTTACAAAACAATTTCCTATGCCCTTATTGTTGACTATGATCCACCAATTTACAATTAAAACGCAAGCTGACGAGGCAACAACCAAATCAGAAATAAGAGAAGATGAAAGTCCACATGTCTCATGCCATCACAATATGAAGAGCCATTGGTTGACCAATCCCTTCCAATTTGTTACCTGATTTATTTATTATAAATCAACTAATCGCTGGTTATTATGGTCTACTGTACAAATTGTCATGTTTTTCCACTAGCAAGTCATCCTCTTCTTAATTTGCCAATCCATGTAGAATGCTTAATTTCTTTCATCCAATCCACTATGCCCTTGTACGCTCAACCTAACTATTCCCCACGGAATCACGAAACGAACTTAAGGATTTCAAACTCTATCACTAGAATTTCTATCACACATAGCATTCCATTCGATCTTCTCCCCTTTGCACACTACACTATCCTTTGGCCAAACATTTCCAAATACCAACAACATTGACTAGTGTGAGATATATTTCCTAGACGAGTCTCTGGAAATTGGCCATGATTTCAAGATCTATTTAGCCACTCCATGAACTTGTAGCCTTGCCTCTCCAACAAATTTGCTTAAGATTGATGATGGCTTTTTGAAGTCCTAATCATCGCAGCACTTCAGTTCACTTGACCATTAGCCACGGTTCTCTAACATCCAACTAAACTCTTTGATGTAGATCGTAGTAAAGAAGAATTAGGGATTAGAAGGGAAGAAGAAGGAGATGAGAACAGAGAGAGAATTTGACAAAGAAGGATTCAATATCAATAATCAATAATAATCAAAGTCTAATCTAAATAAAACCCTTATATGCATCCCTTTATATAGAAAAATTAAAACCCTAAAGCAAATAAATAATGACAAATAAATTCTCATAAGTTAAAAGATAAATATTAAAAATATCTAAATAACTATCATAATTAATTTATAATATCTATCTAATTCCTACATGATTCCCATCATTCTCTTCCAGTGAAGAAAAACTCTCTTCCGGAGAGTCTTCAAAGTAGAAGTACCCTACAAGAGCAGAACGACGATGACAGAATGTTTCATCTATAATGAAAGAACCATCAATACCTTTCCATCGAGTAGAATAAATGCAACAATCTCCATCTGTAGCAATGTAAATCTAGTCACGTAACACATCATCTATTTGACTTGAAATATGCGATGAAAGTGGAAAGATAAGAGTTGAAGCTAGTGCTGAGGAAGAAGCAATTTCACTTGTAGAAACACTGGATAACAAAATGGGAGGTTCTGGAGTACCTCGATTAAGTAGCATGTCCTCTTCAAAATAAAAATCTGGACTAATACTAACATTAATAAAAAATTAAGCAAATAAGCATTAGATCCAAATTTAAGAATAGCAAAATAATTCTCATTAGGTTGAAACAAAAAGTATTGAATGAGACAAGATATTGATGAAAAAAGAGTAACTAATGTCCTGGGGCTGAAAATAAGAAAGTATAGACTCAATTGAACACTTGACAATAGACAAAGAATCAAAGTTAACACTCTCAAGTGGGGCAGAATCCAAAATAATGTCAATAATCTCAAGTGGAGAAGAATCCGAAACAAAATCAACAATCTCATATGAAGAAGAATCCACAACAATGCCATCATGATTCGGAATAGTAGAAACAGAATAATCCTGAACATATTCTAAAATAGATAACTCAATATGTTCAACATTTTGCATAGGAATCAACTGAATGAATTTTTTTTCAAGTTCAGTGCTTAGTGATGATTCAACTTTTGGCTTCGATGAGGTAGAAAGTATGATAGGATCAAACATAATCTCATCACTAGTATCAATGTTCAAACGATTAAAAGTTTGTTTTGAAGGATAGAAAACATGAGGGTCCAACGGAACAGAAATATGACTATCATTATGTCGGTGTTCGACATTTGGTGAAACTGGAGACTTGTCCTTATTTTCTTCTATTCGTTGACTTACAAGAATTTTAGTCAAGTGGGAAAGTTGAGTTGTTAATTAAGATAATTTGTTTTTCATCCCTCTACACTCTTCACATAATTGACCAAGTAAATGCTTAGTATTGGCAACTGCAATTTCAAAGATCTCAACATTTTTCTTTAGGGTAGTTTGGGCTTTTGAATGGTCACTAATGACATTGAAGATAGATCCAAATTGACTTTGATGATGACTTTGGGAAGCATGACGTTGGTAACTGTTATGTGACCTAACTGCTCCAAAGTAGTCTTCTAGATAATCTTTATAATAAAATTCAAACTTACTATGAACTTTATAATGACTCCGAGAAACTCTAGAAGTAGTATAGTGATAACGTTGTGGAGAACTATGAACTTGAAATATTCTTGATATTGGATAAGTATATGAATAGGCATCATAATGATCATATGAACTTATGATTGACTTTGAAAGATGAGAATAACATAAGAATGATTCAAAAATGCAATTAATAATTACAAGAAGTGAGAAAACATAAATAGAAGAAAATGTGTTTTGGACCCTTTGCAAATTCTCTAATTTTTCAATGAATAAAAATATTAGTCTCAAATTCTATGGAAGTATGCATACCATAATCAAGAGAAAATTTTGAAACTTTTTGGGGATGATTCTATAATTTTTGAAACTTTTGGGGTGATACTTATGTAATTTTATAGAATTTATAGGTGTGATTTTGTAATTTTTTGATTTGTTGGGGATGTTTTTGCAATTCTGAAACTTCTGGATGATATTTTATAATTTGTTGAAACTTATAGGGTGTTTTTGTTAAGTACAAGAGGCAGCGATCGATCCTGAGTCGATAAGAGCAACGACAGTGGTGACCAGTCAATGATGAACAGTGCGTGTGAACGGTGCGCACGATAAAATCAATCTTGAGTCGATAAGACCAAAAACAATGTGCGTGAACAGTATTGCTGTGATTTCGACGAACAATTTTTTTTTTTTTTTCAATGATCAGTGTTGTTGAGATTTTTGTGATTTGTATAAATCGAAGTTGAGCTCTAATACTAAATTGATGTAGATCGTAGTAAGAAAGAATTAGGGATGAGAAGAGAAGAAGAAGGGGATGAGAAAAGAAGAAGAGGATGAGGATAAAGAGAGAATTTGAGGAAGACGGATTCAATATCAATAATCAATAATAATCGAACTCTAATCTAAATAAAACCCTTACATGCATCTTATTATATAAAGAAACTAAAATTCTAAAATAAATAAATAATGACAAAAAAATCCTCATAAGTAAAAAGAAATTACTTAAAAGATATCTAAATAACTATCATAATTAATTTATAATATCTATTCAATTCCTACACGATCCCCATCACTCTTCACCAACTTTTTCCATCAGATGAAGAAACCACCACCCAGTGACCCAAGTGATCTTGTTTCGTGATTGCTCAAGTAATTATTATTGATCATCGACCATGTTGCAATAGGCATATGGTTCTAAGCCTAAAACATTCATGAAAACTTTCCTAGAGCCGACTTGTAGTTCCATATGTGCATAGTCAGTTTTTTTTTTTTTGGAAACTCATTAATGAATGAAGAAATGAATTAATTTATGATCACATAAATACTGAATGTAACTGGTCCTCTGTGTGATTTGTAAATTGTCAAATCCTATGATTATTATGCATAATCTGTCAATTTTTATCTAATCTTTTGAGACCATTTGGTATATTTCTATGTTTACTGGATTATGTCATCAGGCTTGCATCTAACCGTAGATCTTTCTGCCCCTGCAGCAAGTTTTCGACTATGATACATTTAGTGCGGATGACATAATGGGGGAAGCTGAGATTGATATCCAGCCAATGATAGCCTCTGCAATGGCATTCGGAGATGCTGGAATGTTTGGAGACATGCAAATCGGAAAATGGCTAAAATCACATGACAATGCCCTGCTAGAAGATAGTACCGTAAACATTGTTGATGGGAAGGTAAAACAGGCGGTATCACTTAAACTCCAGAATGTAGAATCTGGGGAAATATATCTAGAACTGGAGTGGATGCCTCTTGAACAGTAGGTGTATATAATTTTTTGCCGCTCTGATTTTGCATTCAACAATAAATGTGAGGTTGTACAAGTTATTTAGATGGAATTGCACCATATGTATTTGATTTTGGACACAGAATTTCACCATACACACTGTTGCTTCTTTTGTATTTTCCCAATTCAATTTCACTTTTCTTTCTTTTGTAATTCTGAACGCATGACAGACGATACTAAACGTTACCATTGTGTAAATCTACTCATTATGAAATTGAGATCAGTTTGTTGGAAATCTTGATTCAGTGTGGTACCTGACATTAAATTGATGCCATGTCGAGCTCAAAGAATTTAAGGTACACTATAAGGAGTTCGTCCACTAATGAAGGGGGATTTTTTTGGGGTGAGGGTTATTTTAGGTTGCAAATTCTGAAGGCAGAAGAAACTCTATAATGATCCTCCTGATTAGAGATGGTGTCCCTCAGCCTTCCATTTTTTTTTTGTTTTAATCATCTTCCTATTTATGGTTGATAATCGAGTCGAATTACTTGAGCTCGGTTCGGATTTGACTCGCTTAGGATTTGACTCAAAGTTGACTCGTGTTTTAAATGAATCAAGTTTGAATAATTTTATAGACTTATTTAAAAAAACGAGTCTAACGTGCTCTTTTATATATAAAGTAGTCAAATTACTTAGGTTCAGCTTGTTTTAAACTTAGCTCGGGCTCAACTCATTTTCTAAATAAGCGAACTTGAACAATTTTTTTGGCTTATTTAAAAAAATGAGCTTGACAGACTCGGTTTGAGTTCATAAAATTTGGCTCGATTATCACCCCCATTCTTAATACTTTCCTTTCCTTCTATATGGAAAAGCAAATTGAGTCTAGTTTTCTAATGATGGTCCTCGGAATGTATTAACCCAAGTTCAGAACTGAGATCTAAGTCGAAGAACTAAGGCTAAGTCCACTGTAGGGGAGTCTCTTGATCTTGGGGGTTGTATGCTGCACAGGATGATTTTCTGCAATGAATAGAGATAACGACCCTCTCGATGATGAACCTGATACAATCAAGAGATTAGGAAAAGGGGCCGGGTGAACACCCAGCTTATCCCCTCCGAAGTTTAAGTCAATAGGCATTGGAGACTTTAGCATAGTATTTTCATTTTCAATTTAGTTTTGCGTACCTTTGTTCATTTTTCTGAGGAGTATTTATACCTGGACTAGCAATAAGTACAAGGGTTTGGAGTCCTATCTCAACATTTAATTGCTTGCACTCTTATCCATGCACAATGAATGCTCTTCACTCAGATTCTTATGACTAGTCACTCGGGCGATGGGATAACTGCTCGGGGCATGCCGAGCACTTATGACCCTATCTCCGGTCATTTAAGCCCATTTGGTCGACACTTGACACCTATTCCCGAATGTTTAATGTTCGGGGGAATAGTACCTCGGGGTTTCTTGAGGACATCTGGTCGGTGCAATGACAGTTAATGCTTTGTAATTATGACTGTCAGTTTGGGTCTCGAGGATGCAGAGTTTTATTAATAATCATGTCACAGTCACTCAACTCCTTATAAATGAGCTGTCTTTAAATGCCAGTCCCAGCTGGTGTACTCGGTTTCTCTGAGCCATTATTCTTCGGCGCTATCTCTCGGCTCCTTTTGAACTCCATCGCGACTATATTTATCCACGTGTCAGTTTGAGGGTTGCTGAGCCAAGCTTATTTATCTTGAGCTAACCTCCAATTGAGCTGGATTATGGTTAGGCTGGACTTTAAACCTTCTCGTACTATTGGACTCCCCCTTTTGGGCGTAGTTTATCTTACTCTTGTCATGGGCATGCTGTGATCCATTTGGGCCAATGTGCATGTAGGGGCCTCTTGGACTTTATTGTGCTTTTGATTATGGTGATTCATACTCAAAATTCCATCATTATCATCTAACAAGTACACAGTTAAAACGGATATAATGTTGTTAAACCAATTTTAAAGGGAATTGAGTCAATTAGCCGCAATTTTCTAAGCATATTATGGAATCCACTTCCACCTTCCGGAATGTTTTAGGAAATCCTAAAATGGGATTGCGGTAGATTGTGGAAACTTTTTTTGAAGGAGAAGTCTAGGCATACAATAGATCGATGACACTTGCACAAATCATACCCATTCAATGTAATGCCAATTACCATTGGTCTAAAGGTTGGATAAAATAAAAGCTTAAATGGACATGTTGTTTAATCCAATCCCATATAAATAGTTATTTAGTCTGTTGGTTAGTTTATTCATTTTGTGGAATAAGCAAACCCAGTGAAACAACATTCAATTCTTGTTTGGTGTACCAATTTTCAATGGGACTACACCTGGTTGAGCTTGTTTGCAATGATATTTAGAACATTTTTTTTTGTCTTGGAAAACTAGTGTAACAGCGCAAAATAGGGTGGAAGTTTTATGAGTCATGAGGGAATTTTGAAGGAATATGAAGATAAATGATAAAAGTAATTTGGTTCGCAATAGTATTCAATTTCGTCGTAGTTGCAAAGAATAATATTCTTGAATATTTCATATTTATACTCTATTTGATTTGCGGGTTCTTATTTTTGAGATTTCATCGAATTTGTGCTATAAATGGGGTATATTTGATATAAAAATCATGTTTTGTATGGATGGGGTAGGTAGATGCCTTGGCCATTGCGAGGATGCATAGAATTTGTACGACCTAGATCTTACTTGACATGGATATGCATTGATGTATGACTATATGATTCTTGTTGATTGAGCTTTTCTAATTTGATTTCGTATCACAAATTTGATTCTATACTTTTGTTCTACTAAACATATTATTCCCTATCATATTATATACTTTCCCGTTATATTTATTTTTCAAATTGACCTAAGAAGAAAGGATCGAGATTGGAATAATCAAAGAATTCAAGATAATTGAAGATTTATAATTTGATCAAAATTCTTGTATTAGTTGATTTGTTAACATTTAATTTAAGATTTGAGATTATAACTTCATTCAGGTTGGATGGTATTATTGGACCATTTATTTTATAAATTGATGGCTTTATTATCAATTTTAATTTTATTGGAGGTAATAGGGCTCTGACATTGTATTTGGAGATTATTTTATGGTTTATTGTGATTGATTCTATTAGCTAACATATTCAAAAAACACGGACATTACATCTACAACTGTCAGTGGATTACGTCGGGTTCATCTTGTATTTAAGTCGTGTTGTCTTAAAATTTGTTCAACTCAAACCCAACCTATTTTATATTTGTGTCTAGCCGGATTCGTGCCATGCTAGATTTGTGTCGTGTATAAGCCGTTTATAAATAGTGTTTAGCTAATTCATGTCGTGTTTAGTCAGTTTCATGTTAATCCATTTATTTCACGTATGTAATGAGTCTATTTTTTTATCACCAGAACTCTTTAGTCTTAACTTAAACCCATTAATTTTATACTGATTCATGTCGGGATTGCGGATCATATCTAAAAATGACTGGCCTTCGAAAAATTAGGATATAACCTAGACTGAGATGAAGGTAGTCATTTTTTTGAGATGAAAGTAGTGTTACGTTGAGACTACTTTTAACCTTTTTTTTTATAACTTGATTGATTATGGAAATAAACCAGTTATGACCCGTTTAAAGACTCGTTGCTCCACCCTTTTTTCCGGATGGGCTGGTCCGGTCAATGCCGTTGATTGCTTGATTGATTGCTGGCCCAGCCCAATGAAAAAACCTTTACTTTGCATAGGGTGTTTCAAATTAATTTGTTGACTTAAAAATAGTGTTTGATAAAACTGAAAATTGAATGTTGAATTTTTTAATATGCATAATGTTTGGTATCTTATAAAATTTAAATATTGAATTAAATCAAACTATTTAATAAGTATGATGAGTTAAAGTCTAAAAATTATTATTATGGTGGTGAAAGTGGTGGTGGCAAAACAATGGTAGTGACGATAATAATAGTGATAGTGACAGTGGATTGTGAGTACTGAAAAATTGAAAGTATAAAATGTATTGAGAGGATATTTGTCTATTATGAATAATTTATAAAATCTTTACTAACTAACATTTTCAATGTTAAGTGATAAGTAGATTACTTGATACTTAAAATTTTAACCTATTTTTAAGAAATGCTTAAAATATCAAGTAGTGTGAGTTTAAAATACCAAACTAGTTTAATACATTAAGTATTTCAAATATTCAGTTTTAAATATTAAGTGGTGTTTGCTAAAAATAAAAATTGAATATTAAAAATTGAATGTTGAATTTTTAATTCGCAGACTGTTTGGTATCTATAAGAATTTAAATATTAAATTGAATCAAATTGTTTAACAAATATAAGGAGCTGAAGTCAAAAAATTATTCTTATTCTAATTTTACCGTTCTTTTTAACTATTTCACCGTAAATACCTTATTTCTATCACTATCATCACAATGTCGGTGGCGGTGGTGATAGTCATGGTGACAATGACAGAATAGTGGTGGTAGTGATGATGGTTACACAATGACAACGGCAGTAATGGTGCACAATGATGGTAACAGTGATGAAGGTGATGGCGATGGCGATGGCGGTGATGGTGACACAATGGTAGTGGTGATAGTAACGAAACAGTGGTAACGGCGGTGGTGGTGATGGAGGCGACAACAATGACAACACAAATGTGATAATAGTAAAAAATGGTGAGTATTGAAAAATTAAGAGTATAAAATACATTAAAGATATATTTGTCCATTATGAAAAATTTATAAATTTTTTACTTTCTAATATTTTCAGTATTAAGTGATAAATTTGTAATTTGCTACTTAAAATTTTAACCTATTTTTAACAAGTACTTAAACTATTAAATAATATAAATTTTAAGTTATCAAACGGATTTAATTCTTTGAATACTTAAAATATTCAATTTTAAATATTAAGTAGTGTTGTCAAACTGGCCCTAAACATTACCCTATTAATCAATCACGCCCATTTGTTTGATAGTGACCTGAATACTAGTTAAAATTCTCTGTTAATTCAATGTCTATGAAGAATTACATTAATAAACTAAATTAATAAATTCCGTTTAAAGAATATTGTTGTTACCTGTATTGATGTATGTAACTACTCCTCAATTCTGTGAATGGGTTGGGAGGACAAAACAGAATCAATCAGGGGGTCAAACACACCATGAACTCGTGTAATGGGCTGAATAAGCTAAAAGTAAAATTGAAATTTCTCTTTCTTGGACAAGACACAGCCTCCACCGGAAAAAATAACATAAGGGTTGTTTATCTTTGACCGCAAAGTATTTGAAACATACCAAATTTGAATCTTCTCTATTTCAAAGGTCGCCGATTTCGATCAATGACATTTGAATCATCTCCCGTGTCTGTCTTTTGATTAGACGGGAAACGAGATTAATCAAAATGCGCATAAACTGATTCAAACATTTATAACCGTTAAACTAAAAGAAAAAATTAAAATTGAAAAGATCCAGATCTAAACATAGCATATACCTCACCTTTTTTTCTTTGTTCTTTTTTCTTTTTTTCCTTTGGCAACAAGTAGCCCCTTGGAATCTATGACTTCACCCATGACATCGTATTTTGGATTTTTCACAGGGCATTACATCATAGGAGATTACACAACTCCTCATAGATAAGCCACGACCATATCGGTGAGAAGCTATACACCCCCCCCCCCCCCCCCCCCCCAACAAACAAACAACCAGAAAAAAAAAACCCAACAGACAAACACATAGAAAGATGTCAGGATCAGACTCACAAGAGGAAAAACAAAAAGCATTTGGATGGGCAGTTAGAGATTCCTCAGGAATCTTCTCTCCATTCCACTTTACAAGAAGGTACAACTCTTTCTTGTTCACTCCTATTTCTCTGTTTCTACTTCTATTTCCTTGAATACTCGAGAGTTGCATGGCATGCATGAATTAACCATCACAATTTATACAAAAGTCATAAGCATTCAAGCACATTTCACCACACAACCTGAACCAGACTATAGCCCGTGCAACCCAAACTGGAATATTGGGGCAGCATCTAGGGGTTGTTGCACAAGCTTTTTCCTGGTAAAACCAAGTAATGCAGGTTTGCATACTCACTTAGAGAGAGATATACTCATTCTGGCTGTATTCGAATAGTGTCTTAGCAGAAGTGCCAACATATCGGTCATAACAGTGCATTTTTTGAAGTTAGTGGTAGGCAGCGTTACTCTATTCTGAAGAGGTTGATTCACAAAATGTCCACGTGTACTTTTGAAATTATTCCTCACATTCCAATATGTATCCAGAGCTCCGGGGCTTGGTGGTGGGGGAAAGGGGGGGCAGCCGCTGATTAGTCTTCAGATGACATGTAGGAAAATATATAGATAGAAAGTGGAGGGCCAAACGCTTGAAAATCACCCATAAATAATGTTATCAAATCCAGAAAAATTTCAAGCTTGGACACCTCCCCAAGAATATGTTCATCATTCAATTGAGACCCAATTAACAATATTCAAGCAGTGAAAAAGGATTTGTTGAAGCACATATAGATTCGCTACATTTTGCACATACCAAGAAAAAAACCAGAAGTTTCTTCTCTTTTTTCTGTAACTTCCATTGTCTTGGTAGTGGTCGAAACCTGAAAGAGATGATAAATATGAAGGATTAAAATTAGCATTTGCTTTGATCATCTATAGATTTAATTGGCCATGAAGCCTCTTTATGTGCTTTGGCTTGTAACAAGAAACAGGATGAATTAGAGACACACACACACAATACATAGTTTTGACAATGTTTTGCTATTTGATCCCAGGGCCAATGGAGAGAATGACATCACAATGAAGATTCTCTATTGTGGGATATGCCATTCTGATTTGCACATGGCTAAAAATGAAGTTGGAATTTCCTTATATCCTATGGTTCCTGGGTATGTTTTTTGAAGCAACTTATTTCTTGTCCTTTCAATTTTTAGCATGAGATTGTGGGTGTGGTGACTTTCAATTTCATGTAACATACTTAACCTCATCTTAGTTCCTCAAAAACAGGCATGAGATTGTGGGTGTGGTCACCAAGGTTGGCAACAAGGTGAAAAAATTCAAGGTCGGAGATAAAACAGCTGTGGGCTGCATGGTTGGTTCCTGTGGTTCATGTAATAGCTGCCAGGATGACTTAGAAAACTATTGCCCCAAATCGATCAACACTTACACCTTCTTTGAAAGGGAAGGAACTAAAAACTACGGCGGCTATTCCAACATCCTTGTCGTAGACGAGCACTTTGCTGTCCGATTCCCCGACAACCTCTCACCAGAAGGCGGTGCCCCGTTACTTTGTGCCGGTATCGCAGTTTATAGCCCTATGAAGTATTTCGGCCTCAGTGAGCCAGGGAAGCATTTGGGTGTGGTAGGGCTAGGTGGATTAGGGCATGTGGCTGTGAAGTTTGCCAAGGCTTTTGGTATGAAGGTAACGGTGATAAGTACATCCCTGAGCAAAAAAGAGGAAGCATTAGAACAACTTGGTGCTGACTCATTTTTGGTTAGCCGTGACCCGGAACAAATGCAGGTGAAGGTTTTGTACGATGATGTGAGAAGTAATGATAATATTTTGGTTTAGATCTGCTTATGTGAAGTGTAATTTTATGTTGTGTTTTATATTATGCAGGCTGCTGTGGGCACAATGGATGGCATTCTTGATACAGTCTCTGTGCCTCATGCTCTGCAACCTTTGATTGATCTTTTGAAATGTAATGGGAAGCTTATAATGTTAGGGGCACCAGACTTAGAGAAGCCAGTTGAATTGTCTGTTCTGCCTCTGCTTCTTGGTAAGTTCATAGCCCCCCCTTTCTCGTTCTTCCTTTCTCTTCCCACAGCACAAAGAAATAATAGAAAGAAAGGGTTTAAAAGCAGATTTCGGATGAGAAAAAAATGTATGGCTATTTCCCAGGCATCATAAATTTTTGTTATCATATGATTCAGCTAAAGTAATTTTGGTGGTAAATGAAATAATAAGTAAATAATTGATCATAATGGATAAATGAATTTATGAACTAATGAAAAATCCGTACAGGGACCTAAGTTCAAATGACATGATAATAGTTAAATGTAATGTTCACAAGATTGATATCATAAATAGTTTCAAGACATTTCTTCAAACAAGAAAACATTTCTGACACAAATACAAAGTCACTAATAGGTGCATGCTGTCAAGCTCACCAATAATGGTTGAAAGATTGGTTAAGTCCAAAAATTTTTTTTTGCCCAAGTCGAATTCACTTGTGATGAGATCTAAGTGAATTTTCAATTATAGGGAGGAAGCTTATAGCAGGAAGTGTGACAGGGGGCATGAAGGAGACACAAGAAATGATAGATTTTGCAGGTAAGCACAATATAACTGCAGCTGTTGAAGTTATTTCGATGAACTATGTGAACATAGCTATGGAGCGACTAGCGAAAGGGGATGTCCGCTATCGGTTTGTCATTGACATAGCAAACACCTTGACTACTTAACCAGTTCTAGTCTAAAACTTTATAATTTAATATGACATTGTCTCTAGCCTGTAATAAGAGGTCGCAGTTGTCAGCTGTTCTTGTTCTCATAGAAGGATTGAAATGGAGTATTGTTGTGAGATTTCACTTTGATCACTATATGTAATTTTGAAGCATGATTGTTGTGTACTATACCAGATCTTATGACGTTAGTTCCTTTAATATTTCTACCATGGTGTACTTTGAGTGTGTACTCAAGTTTCGGACTCCCCCCATTTTTATAGTTTCTAATGATTTCTTCTTATTGGAAAAATATTCCGCTCAATGTACTACACCATTTGAATCTATCATCCCGACTAGTAAATGGCACCAATCATATGTTCCCATGCCTAAAAAATGTAAGTTAAGTTGTGCCTAAAATGTATTAATTGTCAAAAAGAATTACAGAAGTATCATTTACAACCAAACTTCGGAGTTGAATAGCACAAAGAAGGTTTGTTAGAGTGAACATAATGCAAAAATAAAAAAGAAAAAAAATCAACTAAACATATAATTATACACAACAAGAACTTGATGCTAAACAGTATCTCATTATATTATTGTAGGATGATATGTGTTGCGGTGTTCAGAGGTAAAAGGCAGCATTGGCATTCAATAATGAATATCTAGAGCTACTCAAACAGAGGTTTTGTGCTTGCCCCTCTATGTGTTAGGGGGGTCAAGGGGTGTTTGGGGTGGATGGGGATGTATTATATCTGTCTATACACAAATATGTGGGCTACATAAGAATTTTATGCGAACCCGTCTTACAGACTAAAAAGAGACAACCAACAGAAGGCCATAAGACATTGTAAAAGAGTTCAGATGCATATCACGCACTTAGCAGTCCAAAAGGCAGAGAGTCAATGTAGGGCGTGAATAGAGCAGTTCCCCATAGTAATGCATAAAATGAACATCTATTCTTGTTACATGGGTAGCATTAGCAAGGTGTTTGAAATAAGTCATGGAGGCACATCTACATGAGAGCAGCAGCATTAGTAAGGAGATTGATATTAAATTAAGGAGGAAAATCTACAAGATCCCCAATTTGATTCTGCTAATTGGGCGTGTTGAGAGGGATGAACTGGGCACACACCTAATCTTCAATTTAGTTGCTTTAAATTCGAGTTACAATGACCCCTATAGATTAGCATCCTTTACTGTACTAAACTCTGAATTAGGATGCTCCCCCATACTAAATTTACTTGATTTTGTATCCCATCATTTATTACGGGAGACCATTTGAAAACAGTGGGTCTCCTTACCTTGATAGTGAATTATGGTAAGATTATGAACCCAAAAGTGTTTTTTTTTTTAATTTGGAACCAAGGGAATTGAGTGAATTTTGTAGGAAAATGATCCTAATCCATTGATGAACATCCAAAAGGCAATGCATATTTATTGCAATAAATAGTTCTTTTATGAAAGATGCAAAGAAAAAGAAGCTCCACAACTTAAAAGATAAACCCGTATAGATAAAGACATGGCGTTCAATTATGCATATAATATGTATGACTTTATGCCCAAAAGAAATGATAGAGAAAGTTCAAGTACCACTTAAATCTGCAAACTACTTGTCAGATGATGGTGTTGAAGATGATCTCTTTTGCTTTTTAAACCGAAAGACATAAACATATGCCGCGACAACCAGCAAAACGACACCCGTGACTCCACACACCAAGCTGGCCACCAACAACGCTCTCCTCACATGATCCCCACCACCACCACTACCACGACCACCACCACTGCCGCCGCCGCCAACGGTGGTGCTCCACCATGATTGGTCGCTCGTGTTTCTTGCTTCCGGCAAAGGCACATTCGGGGCTGCTGCAGAAAAGAAGGAGAGCATTTCTGGGTCGTTTTGTTTCGTTGTTGCTAGTGTTTGCTGGTGTGCTAGCCCATGTTCCGATGGCCGGAGTTCTCTACCTTTTGATTGTGTGATCGTTAAAATTGCGATCAGTGGCAAGTACAGTGTTAGTACGACATTATACCGCCAACAATTCTCCATCTATAAATCTTCTCTCTGTACGGTGTTCACCGCTCTCTCTCTCTCTACCCACAGAGGTTGTGCATTTGTGATCTTGTGTGTGTGTAGTGTTGTTTTGTGATTGTGTGTCGGATACAGAAAGCGCGTAGGCTGGGGATCTACTCTGCGGCGCCGTCTCTCTCTCTCTCTCTGGTCCTCGGTTTTAAATGCAATAATGATATCAGTATTTAATTTGTTGGTGTGATGTGGGCTTATAGTTATTATTGGAGTGATGGTTTCACTCTATTTAATTTTAAAATTTATTATTAATTTAATAATAAATTTTGAGCAACATTAGTTAGAGTATAATTCACGGACTAAATCAACTACCTTTTTAACTTGTCAACTATTCTCGTCAAATGTGTTGGGGGAAGCGGGTCCATATCGATTTTTTAATAGATTCTTATCAAATTACTCATATTTGATTCGTTTATCGATTCGTATCTAATGAATTATGTCGTATATAAATAAATTGTATTATATTTTTTTTTGATTAATTTTTCTCGTACACAATGTATTTTTTAATTATATCATGTCGAGTTCCCTAGTTTAAGAAAGATTCAAATTTTTTAATTTTGTATTGTGCTAACAGATTGTGTTATATTTTGACATTCTTAATTGAAGTCGATTACTAATAAAATAAATTAATGAATTAAGTCAATAAATTATATACAAATAGTATTATCAATAAAAGATAAATTGGAAAATAATAAAATTACTCAAAAATCACTAACATTTGGGATTATCCCATTTGTCCACCATGGGTATCACATGCTACATCTTGCGGATAATTCAATAAATTTGAGAATATAAGTTGATAGAAATTGAGGTTTGGATCTTCTTACTAAATATGTGGAATTGCATATGAATAGTTTTTTTTTTCAATTTTAATCAAGTTTAATTAAATTTGTTAGTACCAATTGATTCCAGTATAATAGAGAATGAAAAAAAAATTAAAAACTAAAAAATAATTATAATTTTTTATGAAAGAAATTAAAAAAAGGGAATTGAAAGGAAGTTTCAAAAAAAATTTTGGAATATTTATAAAGGAAGGGGAGTTTTTTGGAGAGATTTTTTTGACATATCTTAGTTTAGGGAATTTCTAATGTAAGGAATATAAAGTTTTTAATAGTGTATTTAAAGTTACAATTTCAAGTAGTTTAATTGGTAATATGAACAAGCGGTAAATTTAGATGTTTTGAATTTAAATGTTGACAACTTCTTGAAGCTCTAATCCTGACATAAATAATCTGCTTTTAACCGGACTAAATAGGAGATTAATCGAGGTGTGTATAAATTAATAAGGATACCCCTGAATATTGAATCAAAAAAAAAAATTAATTACAATAGGATCAAACCAAGTTAAAATTTAGCAAGCTAAATCTTGACTCAATTTAGTCGAATTATATTTTTTTATGATCAAATCTTATTTTTTAGATTTTACTAAGTCATAATTTTAATCTTATTAAATTGTAGTATTATCTCAATAGATTAAAATTTCATAGAATATGTTACCTTCGTACCTTTTTTTTTTTATGTCAAATGTCACATGGAAGGATCATCATGGGTTCGGTGGCATGGGTTGGTGTCATCATAAATGTGTCTCCGATGTCTATCTTCTATCTAATTTTACAAGTATGAAATTAAAATTTTAATTTATAATAGTATAAAATTCATCTTAATTTGTTTTTTTTTTTGTAAAAATATCACATTCTCTGTACGGTACTCAACACACTCTCAATACCAAACAATCCTATTAGTTCACACTTATTTCTCTCTTCTCTCTCTCCTACATTTTTTCTTATTTTCTCTCGATTCACTTTAATTTTGATAGTCATTTTAGGTAAAGGCTTTGTTACTGAAAAATAAAATTAGGTACACTACCGCCAATTACAATTTTTATGATAAAATTATATTTTTGAAATGAGAAGTTATAACTGCTCCAAAGAATGTCATGATCGATCACAGATATCCATGATCAATTATAAATTTTCGATATCGATCTCAACCCTTTATAATGAATTATGCCCTTTAAAAATTGTAACTAAAACTTCAAAAAAAATTATAATTTTCGATGCGATATCACCAAAAAACGTATCCATTCTTTTTATATGTCATTGTGTTTTCGGTTGTATGTCGGGGGGATTTACACTTTTTTCCATGAAAATCTGAAGTGTCTAGATCCATTATTGTGATGAGCTTCAATCACGCAATCAAAGAATACATTTTTCTACTGACATTACCCATTATTGATTATGTATATGCCTACCAACTTTGACATTATCCATTCTTCGGATTTGATTCATGTTCACGACATTTTCGAATAGTTTGTTCAAATTTGATCCTCAATTTTTTTTTTGTTGAAGCTTACGCTCGACTCAGACATAACTTTTATAATTATGCAAATCAAGCTTGAACTTGTTTTCGATCTTAAATTCATTTCTGTCCAAGATTTAGTTTGACTTTTTATTTGCATACAATATGCAATATGTATAGAATATACAATAGGCTCGTTTGATTTTTATATTTTTTTTTAAAAAAAAGATTGAATTTGGTAATTCAAGTTAATTCAGAATAAGTAAATAAATGGGCAATCAGTATAACTATTGTAGTTCAATGTTTGATAAGACATTAGATGGTGTGTGTATATATATTTATTTGGATCGATTCAAATAAAGCTTAAATTTGGTTGTTTGAGAAGGAACAAAGGTATAAGAGCTTCCATCTGAGTTGATTCCAAGCTGTTCATTAGTAATCTCTTCTCAATTCCTTCCTTTTTCCCATATATTCTTTTTTTATAGTCTTTTTTGTTGCTATTATTACACGAAAAATCTATTGTCATGCCCCACTAGGGATAACGTAGGATGGGCAATGGACCGATCACTAAAGCCTTAACCAACTAATCCTGCGTATAATAAATACAAAATACAACGAAAAATAAATAATAAAGTGATTCATTCCACGTATTTAATGAATACTAGATAAATAAACTAGACATCATCTAATATAATTATTAAATCCAAGTAAAACCATAATCAAATCATAAGGCTTACAAACTCCAAATATAAACAAAATTGTTCCCAAACAATTAAACAATTATCTCAAAACTATAAACAATGATTATTCTGAAAGACCTACAATAG